AAAAAAAAAAAAAAAAAATGCGTTAAGTATCTAACGATATTAAGTATTTAAACTTGAATTTAAAGTACCACTTTCTACACTAAATTCCACACTCGCCGTTAATACGCCATTAGAGACAAATATTGATGATATCCGCATTGTTAATTGAATGCCAATCAAGGCGTTGTTGTCGGAAATTGAGCCTTTAGGATATGAACTATAAATCTAATTTTCATACTATTGTGTCAGCCGCGCAGTACAATTGTTTATCAACAACTGCTAGTAAAGCTTTCTGCGTACGCACAATGATTGAGTCATTCACAGTTCAACTGCGCTTTATATTAAACAATCATTAACAACCTACCTATTGAATCTGTAAAGAGACCCAAGCCAAGAACAAAGACCAACCTGTCTTTTCTCGAAACACTTCGCTGATTCTGGATCTGACGTATAATTTACAAAGGGTCAATTGCACGATTGTTCTCAATCTTAGCAATTTAAGTGTCATGCTAGCGTCTAGCTAGAGTGACAATAATTACCTACTTATTGAGAAAAAAAGACTGCCTCGTTGGCGAAGTGGTCACAATTGCGACTGCCGGGCAAGGGGTCTCGGGTTCGATTCCCGGGTCGGGCAAAGTATTACTGGGGTTTTTCAAAAAATCTTAGTAGTAGCACGGAGTCTGGAATTGTGCCCGGTATATGGTAATAGGCTCACCCCTTATTACATGGGACTCATAACATAAATAGTGAAAAGTGGGTGTTACATTGTACAGTAGCATTGTGCCGTAATGTACACCTCTGCCTACTCCTTCAAGGATAAAAGGCGTGATGTTATGTTATGTTATGAGAAAAAAATATTGTCCGCGTTGTCCCCTCTATAATGCCAATCAGAAGTGAACAGTTGGGAGAAAATGTCACTTCGAGAGACAGCATTAGAGTCTGTTAGAGGGGACTACCTACTAGGTACTGCGCTAGGCTAATTCCCTCTTAGGTATCGTTCACAACAAACGTATTGTCCACCCCCGACTGTGAGTATGCTCACTCACGCATTACGTAATAACGAATGTAGTCGGTTTGTTGTGAACGAGATGTTAAATAATCTAAGTATGAAATGTATACCTATGGAAAAGTGATAAACTATGTAGTTTAGGTACGCTGGCGAACATTTGGTGTGAACGATGCCTTATTCATATCGGAAGTGAAAACTTATTTCTACACTCACTGATGAGCATCAAATGATTTTGTAGTGGTCATTTGATTTTCACCGTACCGTCGCTAGTCGGTATCCGCTGTATCTTTCTCTCAGGTGGTAATACTCGTTTTTTTTTCAGAACACTTTCAACGGCAGTGATGACAGCATAGACTATAAATCAGATTTAAGAATACATGCACAACATCAAGGACACGGCGGACATGAAGGTCACGGCATGGGCGAACACGCTGGAGGTCATGACATGGCTATGACTGTAATAACCATAATATCACTTCTTATTCCATTTCCTAGTAACAAATTTGCCAAGCTTTACGCTAAAGTTGTGAAACTGTTAGATTGGCCTATTCGCATACCAAACGTACCGTATTTACTAAGAATACGCTATACTTACGCCACGCTTCTATTTTTTTTTTTTTGAAGACGATACGCTTTCGTAACGCCTCATCTATTCGAAGCGTATGGCTAGCAATACGCTTCGTGTGCGAACGGGCTTGTAGTCTCGTTAATTAGACGATTTTATTATTTAATTTTCAATCAGGTTTCTTTTAAATTAGAGCATCACCCAAATTGGTCTTATCTTTAATATTACCTAATTCAATTTCATTAGGTAATTCTAATTAGGTTGCTAGTTACCTTCTAAGTATCGCTTATTGCAACATTACCTACTTAATTCTTAATTTATTTACACCAGACCACTATATTACTTTTATGTCCTTATGCATGTTCTTAACTTTATGACTTTCATTTCAATCAATCAAAAAGATAATATATGTATCTAATGTATAATTATGTAATATTCCACATTTTTTATTTTTAGTTTCACGGAGGTTATAATGAAGTCATTCTCTTTTCATGGTGGAAAGTAACAGACATTGGAGAGTTCATAGGATCTTTCTTTGCAGTATTCTTAATGGCTTTACTTTACGAAGGGTAAGGATAAATAGGTTTATTTTTATTTTACATCATTCTATCTTTTGAATTATTATATCAAGTAAGCTTTTTGACAGCTAGTACCTACTTACCTTAGTAGAAAAAATATAGGGACCTACTTACCTAGTTGTCTTTTTTTATATAGTGAATGATTTGTGGAAAAACTTCTGGTTTACTCTATATATACGCACAGTTCGTATAAGTCTGCAAAAAGAGGGTACCTTTTTGCGTGCCCATCACTTTGTCACTGAAGCGACGACGAACATTATTCTTAACTTTGTAAATAATCTAAACTATGTTGTTTCAGCTTAAAATACTACAGAAAACACTTACTATGGAAAACGTATACAGGGCTTCAATATTGTGCAGTATCACCACCAGACAAAGGAGTAGCAAATCTATGCGCTCCAGATGAGCCGCAAGTTATACAGTTGAGTAAAATTTTATTTAATTACTATGAAAATAGACAATTTGTTTGCCAAGTAGTTCATTTGCCCTATCAAATAATTCGGCCTTTAGTTTTTTACCGGATGTAGAACACATAAAATCCATAGATTAAACAGAACATTTTTATACCTAATATGACTAAATGTGGAAGTAGATAAGTAACACAGTTTACTAAATTATTTAATGCACAAAATAATTTCTTTTGGGTGCATAAAAATTCAAGCTTTTGCGGTTTTCAAAATCGATAAATGTGGTTACCGAATTCGGTAAATTATCCCACGGGACTTTCTCAAATTCACATTGGAATTAACGGTGTACGTACTTATACTAAATTTCATCTTAATCGATTTAGTAGTTCAGGCGTGAATAACTTACTTGTCTGATTGTCTGTTAGTCAGACAGAGTTACTTTCGCATTTACAACATTAATATGACGTCCTCGATTCATCTCTGTCCTATCTTGGTACTAAATCGGATCGTGACTCATGGCGCTGCTATTCCTTACTATTTGTATTGTAACCATAACATTAAACATTTACATAATTACTCTAAGAAAACAGTAATTAGATATGCCGTAACAATAACGAGAAACTGTGTGTAAAAGGACACACATTAAGTTTCCGATGCGTAAAATTTGAATTTGTATGGATGTGCACCTAACGAAGCTTGAAGTGAATGGTTAAATGTTATTTGATTATGCATTGCCGCATTAAATTATACATTTCCTTATTTTATACCTAACGGTACTTAATTCATTGATAAACATCCTTGGTATTCTTAGTTGTGTTACTGCTTTAAAATCTTTTATTTATAACTGAATCAATATGTTTGGGCATACATAGTTTGTGATCATATGAAAATACTAACACTTATTTGGGCATTAATGTACTTCATGACTTTTATAATAGATATGGGATGAAACTTTCTAGTAACTTCTTGACAGTCGATATTTGAGACACAATAAAAAATACATTGTCTCACGTAGATCTATGTTCCATACCGGGGCTAATTACTTGTTGTACCTATCTTTCAATTGACTGTATGCGCAGTGAATTGACACAATTGTTTTTCCCAGTAAAATATCTTTTGTTGAAGTATTATGTCTGTATTTTGGGTATGTTTGATTAACTTGTACTCTATTTACTAACAAAATATGTGTTCTTTTTAAGGCCGGTGCCCCATGTCCTTGAAAGAAATGTGTAAGTATTTAGATCACCTGAAAGGAAACATTATTCATTAGATTATGACAAGTGTATTAAACGATGTTTTAATAATTTCAGTCCTACAATGTTGAGCACAGCGCACGCGTGGCAGACAGTGCTTCATGGATTGCAAGTTTTAGTGAGTTATATGTTGATGCTGGTGTTCATGTCCTACAACACGTGGTTATGTGCTGCAGTGGTCCTGGGATCAGCGACTGGTTACTTCCTCTTTGGATGGCGAGAATCTGTTGTAGTAGACTTTACAGAACATTGCCATTGATACACATTGAAACACCTACGATTTGTGAGCCAGACTAGTATTATTTTTTCTTGAATTTATTTTTGTTATACATGTTTTATCTTGTTGTTTGAGCTCAAAATATATACAAATATGGAGTATTTATCATGTTTTAAGAGGAAAGCCTTGTTGTAAGTACTTTGGGCAACATTTATACCAGTTATTATAATATACTTTTTAGGATCATATACTATATACTTAGGTAATTGTAAACAATATAATGCTTTGGACATGACTTTGTTTATTTCTTTCATTACTATTCCTTCCAACAACTACGTTTTATTGCAATTATATTACCCGGCACACAACTTGGAAAGGTTTTGTCCCATCAGGCCAACTAGCCTGGCAAGTGCAAAGATAGGTTTGTGCACAAAAATAATGATGAAATACTCATATATTCTTAATTAAAGTAGTATGTCTCGCAAAAATTATTAGACACATTTTATTATTATTTTACGGATGTCTAATATTTTACTTTAAAAAATATGGATATAGCTATTATTTAGTTTTAATCACATCTATTAATTAATGGTAGAAAGTTAAAGTAATAAGAAAAGGAATTTGTGTTAAAAATGAAAGTATGGAATAATTAATATTATAACTGTCATGAGACATAGTAAATTAATTACATATTAATTATGTTTTTCGGCTTACTCACGTAACACGTGGGGTCACACTGCAAACTCGACTAGTCGATAGTAGCGCGACAGTCGTCGCGTCGCGGGTCGCTGCTCATAAGCATGAGCCTCTACCATGCCTTGAAACTCGCAGTTTCTCTTCAAATAAATACATGAGTAAGCCGAAAAACATAATAATTAATTAAAGTAATAATTAACAAACTCACCTTCACTATGGCAAAATCTTGATAAATTACATACCGGGTACTATACAAGCAAGTCAACAGTATCTGTAAAAGTTTATTATCACAAGTACTTATCTAATAATTACCAATAAATAATAACAATAAAAATCAATCTCTTAACTTACTCCAACACTAATAAATTCTTACACATACTGTCTTTTTGCTTTCCTTATCACTACTTAAAAATATAACATTACAGTCTTAAAAAAATTGGCATTAAGATTATTTTTCATTACTCTTGTCTCCTTCAGAGTGTTTAAGAAGACAATGTTTTTTCAAATTAGAACTGCTATTACATTTGTACGGACAATATTCACATTGGTAAGGTCTCTCTGCTGTATGTATCCTTTTATGAGCTTTCAAAGAATTTACAAAATTCGTCCTAAATGAACATCTGTCACACAAATAGGGCTTTTCATTTGTATGAACTCTTTTGTGTTTGATTAAATTTGAGGATAATTTGCATGAATAACCACAGTTGGGGTAGTCACATTCTAGTTTTTGATTTGAAGTTTGATGCTTTGTGTCATCATCTATATTGAAGCTCCTGGAAAGATAAAGTATAGCAGTTTTATTTTGCTCTTTCTTCTTAGTCCCTAGAGGCATCTCTAGCACCTGTGTGGAATAAATACCCAGGTGTTACTGTTGACAGGTACCTGCTTATCGCATAGCTAGGTCCAAAGACTGCATAAACACAGATTTAATTAATGGGTTGGTTGGTTAAACTGTCAAACACCAAGCGGTCACCGGTGACCGCAACCTATTGTTCTATAATTGTGTCTACAAAACCGGTACTCGACGAGTTAAAATTGTCTCTAAACTATGTTGATTATTTTTTATGAAGTTATTACCTGTGTTCCTCAATTGGATCACATGAAACAATGATTTCAACTACATCTTGTGATGTTTCTTGTTCAGATTGAATTACAGGCTTATCTTCAGTTACAATAGTTTTAGATTTCTTAGCTTCCGATAACATTTGAGCCATTATAGATCGAGGTTGCGGGCCAAACATAACAATATTTTTTACAGCAGGTCTCCCTCTTTTATTTACTTCTTTCGACCCCGGCACCTGAGATGGAGTTTTGCTAATTTGTAGTGGGTTCTTCTCATCCATGATTACAGAACAGTTTTAGTAAATAAAGTAAAGTCGGAAACTCGGTATTAGTAAACAAATCAAATACGTTTTTCTGCGTTCGTATGTTAAGCTATCTATCAAGTTAGGATTTAATATTTTTTTGCAAAATAATGAAAACTTTTAATTACAAACTAGAACAGTTTCTGTTAAAATAATAGAATTTTTATACAAAAATATCTCAAGAATGCAAAGGTTATTGATCTTCCATCACTGTCAAGTGTCATGTACTCATGTCACAACAAAGTGCCATAGTCACAATACCAACATAATAAGGACGAATTTTTCGATGCTTTAATTTTTTAGTTTAAATTTAATAGTTGTTTTTGGTTTTCTTTTAATTAATTTTAATCTTAAGTTGTATATATTTAATTTAGTAATAGTTAGTTTTATTTTTATTGAAGTTTTTATTTGAATAAATAACGTATTATACATAATACGAATGGATGTGAGTAGTGCCACTGCCACTTATCTTCCTGCTTGCTTATGTCAAATTCCAATCCAAATATTTAATCTATGGCTCTGTTTTATTCAATACTCCAATCCAACCTCATATAATCACCGGACACTTAAGAGTATTTTTTTAAAAACCAATAGTACTTTGCCAGACCCGGGAATCGAACCATACCCGGCAGTCACCGTTCCATTTATAATATAATTATATTATATAAGGATAATGAAATCTGATAAGTTCTATATAAGATCGGATCTATCTGCGACGCCCACGCTAGCGTTTTGTTACTACAATAATAGTGGGCTAGCGAGTGGTATGAAAAACTTGAATGACAAAAATCATACCTTTTTGTCAACTGTGTTTGTCTGGCTTTCCGGTGGTTTATTTGTAGTCGAAATAAAAAATATATATGTTGAATGAGACTGCCTCGTTTGCCGAGTGGTCGCAAGTGCGACTGCTGGGCATGGGGTTTCGGATTAGATTCCCGAGTCGAGCAAAGTATTACTGGTTTTCCAATAAAGTTGGAAAATGGACATTCAAGTTTTAACCAAGCAACAATGATTGGACAATAATACTTATTTTTAAATTAGTGCCATCTGATGAGCAAAAAAATATATCCGCCATTCAGTAAATAGGTTACAAAATTACAATAATAAACTTATTTCATGGTAAGTAAACTCTGGGGGTCAAAGTCATAGACTTAAAATAGTTAAGCACACCTTATAAGCCCAGGTTTCCTGACGATGTTTTTCATCACCTTTTGTCTAGATAATCTTAGAAAGTACATATAACTCGGAAAAGTCACATTGATACTTGCCGTTGGTAGGTTTCGAACCCCCACCCTCGTGCATGGGAAGCGGGCATCTTAAATCTCCGGGTCATTACGACATATTAGGACTTTTGACCTTAAATTATCGTAATTTATTATATTAGTATATTCATACTAATCGCAGTATTGTGGTATCTATAGAAAGACTCTAGAGCAAATACTGGGGTTGACTTGGTTGCCGATAATTAGTTGCCCTACCAAGTAGCGACCAGGTAAAGTTAGCGGTTAATTTTATAAGTACATTGCGTGTATATTGCCATAAACTAGATCAGAATACTGTGTTATTTTACAATTTTGTAAAATACAATTAACCAATATTTTTTTGTCAATGATCTAGGGGGGTATAGTTGCTCGCGTCCGTAGGATTTACCACCTTTTCCTAGGCCCACCCTACACGTGCCCCCCGGGTGGTGCAAAATGAGCAACAACGCCGAACATCAGGCGGCGGTCAATTAACCTGACTACTGGTATACCACAAGCCTTGGAGTACTTTCATAAAATGTAAATCCCTCCTAAAAGTGTGGCCCTGTCGCCTTGGGAAAGCAACATGTGTATGTCCTAAATTTTAATATGGAAATATGAGCGATACGAATATTGATATGTCATGCGATCCGGCTAACCCCCGGCGCTCGCTGGTATCCGGGCCAGCGAGTGTGAAATATGTCACCGAAGACTGCACGGGAGTAGGCGACCAGGCTCCCGCGACGGTAAATACGACTGGCAGCACAACTAAAAAACTTACCCAACAGGTATTCCACCCAAGCCTATTCATAGCGAGACCTCGGTCATCATCGTTAGAAAATATTAAGGCAATAGACTCAGTAAATCAGCAGAGTACACCGTCAGTGATGATAAATACTATAAAGGATAGTGACAACAAAGCTTGCCCTCCCCCCTGGCAAAGAGTACCAACAGATCGCAACCCCAAAAGGAAGAGATTCTCCAACAGCCCGCCTCAAACTGCAACAGAGATAACTACTTCAAACAGATTCAGTGAGCTTCCCATAGATCTAACTGATGACACAACTGAAAACCCATCCACTCATGTCAAAAAAAGTAGCAAACCACCACCAATTATACTATATGGCATAGAAGACCTAACAAAGTTAACAGAACTATTAAACAATACTGTACCCAGCGACAGTTACTCATATAAAATTATTAATAGAGATCAGTTAAGAGTGATGACACGCTCAACTGAAATATATAAGGATCTTATAGAACTCATCCGGAATAATGGCCTCATTGGTCATACTTTCACACAAAAACAGAAAAAATGCTACCGAATTGTAATTAAAAACTTACATCATACTACACCTAAATCGGCTATAACAGAAGCAATAGAAAACACAGGCAATAAGGTTCGAGGCGAGATCGTTTGTGGAATATCCAGAAAAAATAAAAAACCTCTAAACATGTTCTTCGTGAACATTGAGCCTGGCCCTAATAACACAGTAGTTAAAAGCATACAAACCATATTCCACACGAGGGTCACCATTGAAGACCCAAGGAAAACAAATGAAATACCACAGTGTACCAGATGTCAACAATATGGCCATACCAAAAATAACTGTATGCGTCCATACAGGTGTGTCAAATGTGGGCAAGGACACAGAACAACTGACTGCCTGAAAAAGGATAGAAACTCGCCAGCCACTTGTGCCCTCTGTCTAGGAGATCATCTAGCTAACTATAAAGGGTGCCAAGTATATAAGGAGATCCGCTCACGAAAAATGATACATGCTGGTAACAGAAACTTTCCTCTAGTCAAGACAAAAGCCACAGATACATTTAATCACAAAATAGAAGACTTCCCCCCATTAAAACTCTCCAGATACACCAAACAACAATCAACAAATAAGCAGGAAATAAACACTTTGCACCCACCAGGTAACATCTCTAACACTGTAAATACTGATATCTGGAATAGAAAAATAGAGAACGTGGAATCTCAGTCAACAAGCTCTTTAGAGCAAATCATATTAAAACAATCGGAGAAGATAGATATTCTCATACAACAAATAGGGACCCTAATGGGCCTCCTGACGACATTAATAGCCCAGCAGAAAAAGTAAAATTTCTTCGAATTGCAGCATGGAACATAAATGGTATATCCCCGAATAAACAGGAATTAGAACTATTCATGAACATTAACAAACTGGATATATTACTAGTCTCTGAAACACATATGACTGACCAAAGAACTGTTAACATTAGGGGATGTAATGTATACTATGCCAACCATCCAGATGGAACGTCACATGCTGGGGCCGCAGTGATAGTCAAAGAACACATAAGACACCACGTCACGCCAAGTTTTAGACATGCACATATACAGGCTGCAATTATATCTGTGGATGACTGGCAGGGATCTCTAAATATAGCTGCAGTATACTGCCCCCCACGACATCGTATAGATGAACGAATGTATACCGATTTCTTCCTTACTCTCGGTGAAAGATTTATTGTAGGAGGAGATTGGAACTCCAAGAATACGTTTTGGGGCTCTCGATTGACGACGACAAAGGGGCGAGAACTAAAAAAAGCAATTGATATTAATAACCTTAATGTGATATCAACAGGAGAACCAACTTACTGGCCAACAGATCCTAACAAAACTCCAGATCTCATCGACTTCTTTATCACCAAAAAGATGTCAGGGCTCTACATAAAAGTGATATCATGTCTGGATGGGTCCTCGGATCATACACCCGTGATATGCGTACTGAGTACCACAGCAATCTGGAAAGACCCACGGGAGACTCTGTATAATCATAAAACCGACTGGGAGGCCTTTCAAGATTATATCAATGATAACGTCAATTTGCACATACCTCTTAAAACAGCAGACGACATAGAGGATGCTACATGGTATGCCACTAACTTAATACAGAAGGCGGCTTGGTTATCAACTCCGCACATAACGTTTAAACCACAAAATTATGACACAACTCTGGAAATACGAGAGTTGATAGGCGCTAAAAGAAGATTACGACACCGATGGCACACCAGTAGGAACCGTCAAGACAAAAAAGCTCTCAATAAAATACAAAAAGAACTAAGGGAACTTATTACAGAAACCGAGAACAACACACTACAAGAAAAACTTAAGACCCTATCACCATGCAAAACGGAGGATTATACACTTTGGAAAATGACTAATACAATGAAAAGGCCAAAAGAACACATACCTCCACTAAGACAAACCAACGGCACCTGGTCTCGAAAGCCTCAAGAAAAAGCAGATTTATTTGCTAACTACCTTAAGAATGTATTCAAACCTAATGAAACTGACAATGTGCACACCGAGCGGGAAATTGACGAAGCCTTGAATAGTGATCAACAGATGTCTCTACCATTGAAACTAGTGACAACGATAGAGGTGAAAAGAACAATAATAAACCTAACACAGAAAAAGGCACCTGGATTTGATCTGATAACAGCAGAAGTTATCAAATATCTACCAAAAAAAGGCATCGTCTTGCTGACAATCCTCTTCAATGCCATACTGAGACTACAACATTTCCCAGAATTATGGAAATTCTCAATTATAAACATGGTAGCCAAACCAGGGAAGCCGTCAACAGAGGTTACATCATATAGACCCATAAGTCTTCTCCCCTTGTTGTCGAAAGTTTTCGAGAAACTGGTCCTGAAGCGCCTTCTACCAATACTGAAAGAACAAAAAGTGATACCAGACCACCAATTCGGCTTTCGCGCAAACCATGGAACGACAGAACAAATACATCGGGTAGCTCACACGATAAGGCAAGCGCTGGAGAGAAAAGAGTACTGCTCGGCTGTTTTTCTCGATATTCAACAGGCATTCGACCGCGTTTGGCATAAGGGCCTGTTATATAAGCTGAAGCTTCATCTACCAAATACTGAGTACATGCTATTGAAATCTTATCTGCAAAACAGACTATTCCAAGTCAAATGCGGAGACTCTCTGTCATGTGTCTCAGAAATAGAAGCAGGAGTGCCCCAAGGTTCGGTACTGGGTCCCATCCTATATACAGTCTACACTGCTGATCTGCCCACTTCAGACAATGTTGTGACGGCAACCTATGCAGATGATACCGCAGTACTTTCCTGTAGTAAAGACCCAAACATGGCCTCCGCAAAACTGCAGGAATGCCTGGATGCAATAGGATTGTGGTTAAAAAAGTGGAGAATCAGAGCCAGCCCATCTAAATCAGTGCACATTACATTCACACTAAAAAGAGGGCAATGCACACCAGTAACACTGGATGGTGCTGTCTTGCCAACAAGCACGACAGTTAAATACTTAGGCATGCACCTTGACAAAAAACTCACTTGGCAGGCTCATATAAAGGCTAAAAGAGACCAAGCAAATAAAAAGTTTGTGGAACTATATTGGCTTATAGGTAGGCAGTCTAAACTAAGTTTGGAAAATAAAGTCCTTATCTACAAGTGCATCCTAAAACCGATTTGGACATACGGTGTACAGCTCTGGGGATCGGCAAGCCACTCAAATATTGAGATCCTCCAGCGCTACCAGAACAAAGTGCTAAAGGTACTGGTTAATGCACCATGGTTCACACGAAACACGGAGGTGCACGAATATCTGCAGATTCCGACAGTCAAGGAAGAAATAAAGAGTTCATCTGTATCTTACAAACAACGCCTTGGGCGACACATTAGCCATCTGGCTTCACAGCTCATAAACTCAGACAACTGCTTATCTCGACTGAAAAGAAAGCAACTAGCGTCTACATAAACCCATTTTTAGGGAAAAAAAGAAATAGAGTTAGCATGTCAAAGGATGTGCAACTCTCCAAAGTCCCAAAAGCACGTCATCTTATCTGATTAAAGCCATATCGGCTGATTGTAGATCTGAGGAAAAAGAAAAAAAAAAAAAAAAAATGATCTAAAAATAATTTTATTTTTAATTTTGACAAAAAACTTGACATGTTTTTTCTAATTTTCTTTTTTGTAACTTTCTAATAAAAAAAATTTATTAAATTTTATTGTTTATACACAATATTTCTAAAAATATGGAACGCTTCACGATTTTGCATGCCATGCTCTGTCTACGATTGGAAGTCTGTGAGGTAAACACATGGAGGTATTATCCACATTTTAAGTCTATGGTCAGATAAATAATCTATTTTTTTTTGTCATGTTGGTAATAGGTTTTAAAAACACCGGAATAATCGAAATATCGATTCTTTCTTCAATCACTTCACCGTGTCAGTGTGTCACTTGTCAGCTGTCAAATTAAAAGCGGCCTTCATCTGGGTCGCCGCATACTACTTTTGTTAATGGTTAGATTTATTTCAATTTTAACTGAACGTTCAAATTTCTACAAGTAGAATAGCCGACGGTAAAAAAGCAGTTCCACAATGGCTCAACACGATCTTTCCTGTGGCTTGGAATATACGTGTACTCCAGATATACAAGCATGTTTAACAGAGGGTTTGCGCAGTAATTACTCTTTTGTAGTCACACCAGTAGTCCATCCACGATTTCGGAGACCTTGCGCAGGTCCTGGTAAGGTTGGTGGCTTTACTAGGTCAGATATGACCCTGTCTCCTAATGACTGGACTACAAGGGTAGTAGGAAGGTTGTCCCCTTACCTGAACGTGGACTCTCCGTCCCCGATTGTCCGGCAACGCCATGAAGACATCATGAATGAAGAACTAAATTACTGTAAAGGTCTTGGTCTTCCAGCTATTATGGTGTCTGTTCATGGTAGAGAATCTAATAACTTGACTAGAATTCTCAATACATATTTTGATTCGAGGTTAGTAAATTTCTCTGTTTTTATATAATATCCATTCATTTTATTTATTTACACTTTAATGCACATACAAAATTAATGGTATATAATGCAGACTTAATCCCATGTGGTATTTTTTCCAAGTCAACTTCTGGTTAGGTAGAAAATCAGTAAAATAATATAATAAGCAAAATAATATTGTGTTTATATATACTAAATTTGGTTCATATAATTAAACAAACAACCACATTTATTTCAGTCATCATCCTTCCTTAATATGGGCCCGAGTACCAATGTTGTGTACTAAAACATTGAAAGAATGTGGTAATGAAGGAGATGAGGCTGCCCCCTTCAATGAGCCTTGGCTGTGGTGGTCCAAGTTCCATGAACGCTTGGAGTTTGACAAGCGTGTGGCAGTAGCCCTGGAACTTTCAGCTGATTTGCCACCCGAAGATGTGATAAAAAGATGGTTAGGCGAACCTGTGAAGGTGGTTGTTGTACCAACATCACTTTTCTTTACCAACAAGAAAGGGTATGAGTGTTCAACATATACTTTTTCTTTTTTTTTAAATATTTATTTGTAATAATTGAAAAATAGGTACAGTATCTTTATTCACTATTTGTTCACTGTCTAAAATTTAAAATCATATTCCAAGAAATTCCTGCTATCTATCATCTACATTATAATAATATTATTGTTTTAGATTTCCAGTGATATCACGGGCTCATCAACAGTTGGTAATAAGTTTAATTGAGCACGAGGCTCAGGTCCTAGTAACAGGGGCTAGGAGGTCCAGTGTCGAACACTACATCCAGTTTATGTACAGGATCTGGAAGCGAAAACCTTACATAGGTGATGATCCTATGTTAAGTTATGCTAGAGGGTATGTTTCTATTAAATAATTGCATGTCTATATTAAGTAACTGAAGCGTTTGTTAAGTATTGTGTTAAACGTAATTAAATAAAATTTAATTATTTTGTCGCTTTTCTAGGTGGGAAGATTACCTACAGACACCACTTCAACCTTTAGCGGATAATTTGGACACACATACTTATAATGTTTTTGAAAAGGATCCAATCAAATATGACCAATACCAAAAAGCTATTGCACAAGCTTTGACTGATTTGCAAAAGGGACCACCTAATGTGGTATGTGCAAATTAAATACAAACAATAAAACTCGTAAAAAATTAAAGTAATGGTTGGTTACTCTTATTAATATTATGAATTTTTACAGATTAATACTGATGTTGGTACAGCAAACGCACAAGAGGTGGGACAAGGTGATAATGTGGATAGCAAAAAGAAAACATATACAGTGATGGTGCTAGGAGCTGGACGGGGACCATTAGTAAGAGCTACACTAAATGCAGCTGATATTACAAATAGTAAAGTTAAGGTAAATAAATTCTTGCCTTAAGGCATTGGCTGCCAATAAAAAACTGTTGAAGGCAAATCCTCCGCTAATGTCGGTCACCAGTGACTGCCATGGCGTTTAACGTGTTAATTAACTAATTTCCATCTATCATTGATTTTGTTGTGTATGACAAAACACATGAACAGATTTCTGAACCCGATCATCACGTTTTTAACCAGCTATGTTGCAACTGTTGCAAGTCCCTTCTAAGAACGAATTGTGAATTTATTGTGATGCACTAGGCACAATTTGATTTTGCTCCATCATAATATAGGCAGTTGAAGTGTTGAAAATTGTTGAAGTTCATGTACTGGTTGGTTACAGGTTGTGGCTGTGGAAAAGAATCCTTGTGCTGTGGTAGTGTTAGCAGCTCAAGTACGTGAGGTATGGCGAGACAGGGATGTTGTCGTCATACCTGGTGACATGAGGCAGATCAATCTATCACCAAAAGCCGACATCATTGTTTCAGAATTGCTTGGTATACATGTAAACTAATATGTATTTTCATAAATCTTGAAAGAAATTGCTCAATTTATTCATTTTAAACTTTTAATTTTCAGGATCATGGGGTGATAATGAATTATCTCCGGAATGTTTGGATGGGGCAGCAGGCCTCCTGAAGCCGGGCGGTATATCAATACCTTGTCAATACAGATCTTATGTGGCACCCATTTCATCACCTCGTTTATGGGCAGCAGCTAAAGTTGCCTCCTCTGTTGCTCAGTCCAACCATAAAGATAAAAATCTGGAGACTCTATGGGTGGTTTATATGCAGAATAAACATGATATTGCTGAGACAAAGGTATGCAACCCCACTCTATTATGTAACTAGGTATTTATGACTAGTTTCGATAACAATTAGGGAGAATTATTTAAAATGGTTTCATTTACTTCTAGCTTGTTTTCACATTTGATCATCCAGCAAAGGGCGTAAGTGACCATGAAGGACAGGAATCTATGGATTACAGAGGATTGCCACAGACAGACAATAGAAGACAAGAAGTAATAACTTGGGAAGTCCAACAAGATAATGTGATGCATGGGTTTGGAGGATACTTTGATTGCACCCTGTATGGAAAAGAAATGATTAGCATAGTACCTTCCACACACAGTCCGGGAATGATATCATGGTTCCCAGTGTTCATTCCAATAAAGGTATTTACATTATTCATTATAAAAAAGTGTATAATCTGTACAAAAATTTCCATGCAAATACTAAATCTGTTAAATATTTCCAGACACCCCTTCGTGTACACAAAGGTGAAACAATAACAGCAAGATTTTGGCGCTGCACCGATTCCCGCAAAGTGTGGTACGAATGGATAGTGGAAGTGGGCAACCGTTCCACTACCCTGCACAATCCTAATGGCAGAAGTTCAGAAATGAAATTGTGACAGTGATTTCATTTTTATAATAGAAAATAAAAGACATTTTGTATTCGGCAATAAAAATAAAAGTTTATTTTTTTTGTTTAAATATTTATTTTTATTTTCAAAAATAATTTTAAGTGTTTTTTAACAAACTCCACACATCACAGTCGCTATTACTACAGAAGCTATACTATAAATAATTATTAATTTACAACGTCAAATTATTTCTTCATCAGTCGCACAATATTCATTTCTTTGTGAAAATCGTCTATGTCTTGGTCCCATCTTTTTTCAAAGTAAATACCTGTAAACGTTTCATTTTATTACTTGATTGCTATACAAAAACAGAAGTAAGTTAGGTTACAAGTCAATTTTATACCTTGCATAAACTTGGCATTGTTTCCAGTTTTGATGGCCCATGGCAAGTAATATTTTAGATATAACTGGCGATGCTTTGGCTTTAGTCTGCCTGCTCCCCATATCCCACCATTGATACACATAGGCAGCTGTGTTTGTATACCTTCAACCCATTTTACTGTAACCTTGAATAGCACAAAATAGGATGTATTAATTCTGTAGAGAAGAAAAATAAATAGTAAATTCTGCTAATGTTTACCTCTCCTAGCATGGTTGTTCTCATAAACAAAGTAGCATGAACCAAATCATGTACTTCTCTGTAACGTTGCATCACATAAGCTAACTCAGGGTTTTCAATAAACTGTACTGGTAAACGAGAATCCGCCGTAATATTATTGGCGGTCATAAAATCTGCGTAAACACGACCTAGTGTGTTTTCTGGCATTTCAGCAAGTTTATCAAAACAAACAGTTTTAGAATTTATGCGCGGCTTCTCTTTAAGTATTTCAGAACCTTCCTGCGTCTCAGATATTTTTTGTTGCATGTGTATTAGAGCTCTTTCTCCAGTCACTTCACCTAAACATGCGATCATATCGCCTCGATGGGGATTTAACAGAGATATAGCTGCTGAACCAACTGTTAATATTGCTTTCTGAAATGAGTTTGTAGCAATAAAGTTTTTCTTCATTTCTTCTGCAAAATTGTTACTATTAGCCGCAGTGGTATAACATCTTATTATTCTAAAAGAAGAACGCATTTTTATAGTTATTTTATTTATTAGTTTATCGCGTGAAATAAACTATATTAAATATTTGCCAGTCAGCTTTTTACAACAAAGTCAAAGTTGTATAATGAATTCAACTGTCCTGAAAATAACCTGAAATTTTTGTACTTGTTGATAAATATGTCAATTGTCAATACCTAGTAGGTAAATGTCAACATGAATTTTCAGTTTCATAGACAAAATGGTCCATGATCTGTTTTATGTTACGGGCATTTAGTAAACTTAATTAGAAAAAATATTGAACGTGTAGCAGCATGAGTTTTCACCTTTCTAACACATATTTGTATTTTTAGAGACTAATCGCAAACATTGAATTCAATATAGATAGAGTCCATTTCACGAAAGAAGTCCCGCGGACAATTGTGGAACTAAATTTGACAAATGGGGAGTTCGGCCATGTTGTCGTTTGTCGATGTTGTCAAGGTGGGTTTGTAGTGGTAGATATTTTGTGAGTTTATTATTAAATTAGTGCATTATAAGGTTTATTTACGATGCCAAAAGTTGTAAAAAGTGCAGGTCGAGAAATGATATTAAAATTGAAAGAGTTCTGTGAAGCGGAACAGAAGAATCGCGGCGTTTTAATACCATTAGACAATGTTCGCAAAAGAGTTGCCGCCATAACAGGTAAATTTTGGGGCTGCCATATTAAACATATTTTTTACCAATTAGACTTAAGTTTTTTTAATGAGGAATTAACATAACACAACAAAAATTTGTAAAATTGTATTCAACAATAATATAATTAAATGCGGAAAAAGTCACTGTTCGATTTTTTTTAATTGTTCATTTTATTGCAGGTGTGTCGGAGAGTCGTGTGTTATAAACAGACGGGTAGCGGTTAAAAACGTGGGCCAAGATCCAAAAGAAATTGTACGCCTAACAGAAGAGGCGTTCGAGACTGTTACAGCGGAAGATTGGGCAGTTCAATGCAAACATGTACAGCATTTGGAGGAAGAATATTTTTAAAAAATGATGGTCTTATGGATGAAGAAATGCATCGATTTATTATATCTACGGCTAGTGATAATGAAACAGAATCTAATTCTGTTTCTATTCACTCTTCTGACAGTGATCATAGTAATAAAAATAATAAAACTTTTTAAATGTTATTTTATGTTTCTAATTTGATGTTGGTTGAACATCTTTATTTCCATTTTATATTTTAGAAATTACAGGAAGATTAATTTTTCACTAATCTGACCTTAGCAGTATAAACATAAAATAAAATACCTATATAAAAAGACATTATTTTTAAAATATTCCTCGAACTGTTCGAGTACGTAGTTAATCAAACTAATGTCAATTTCTCCTGATTTCCCCATACTATATAAATTTAACCGTGGCAACATTATGTCGCGCGAATACAGCGCTGCGTCTGCGGGACTTCTTTCGTGAAATGGACTCTATATGCTCATGTTACTAGCTGGTCCCATAAATAAAGCAAGTCAAGAATCGAGTGGATCAGTGAATGGCATACTTTATATTTGACGTTTAATAGTAAAATGACAGAAGAAGTTTTTTCACCAGGGACATTAAAATTTGAATCGTACAATAATCGTAATTGAATCGAGACTTGAATGCGAGACTTTTTGAGAGGTTATGTTTACTCGTGATCGTGAATCGTGTTTGTTTTCAGAATTCAATTTCTTAATTAATATTAGAACACAGTGATAAAATAACTACGGAATTAGTTATAAGCAAGTATACTCTTTGTGTAATATTCTTTTGCGTTTATTGAAACTAATGATAAGGCCTAACGATAGTGTATTTACCACTGACTCAAATATCTAACGTTTTTTAAAATATTTTGTTAAAGTTCATTTATTTAAGTGTATATCAAGCTTTCGAGCCGACTTATATTATAAAAAAGTAGGCTATAGAAATATTTAGTTCTTTCTTAACGATATCTTGTAAAATGTTATGTTATGTGAGGTGTTCTATACCACATGATTATGAATAATGTAAAGATAAAGTTACACTTGATCGTTATTTTAAGTATAGCTTCATGAGTTTATGCTTAAATGCAACTGACTATTTGTCATTAAAAGAATTTTCAAGTTACTGTTGTACTTTAAAATTTCTATTGCGAAGCTCATGCTGCTTAGCCTGCGAATAGGTTTGTTGCCTATGTGATTGAATAAAATTGTGTAATATTTAGTTTTCAGATCCAGTACCTATAATATAAAAGAGCACAATGACACAACAGAAGAAAATACCGAAAATAAAAAAGATCAAAGAAGAATTAAATAAGGAATTTACATTTTTGAAAAATGTATTTTCTGTAATGTCTTTACCGCTGCAGATGAAAGGTAACTTTTTACTATTTGGACTAGCTCTAAATAAATACATGAAAGTGTGTTTTAAATTGCATAATTTTATTTATTTATATGACTGTGTCTGGAGATGGTAGTGCCAGAGTAGTCTGAAGGCTACTTTTTTCTTTTCACACTGTGATGAAAAGCTCTGGGTGACAGAGTATAAGTCTATTTGTCACTAACTCTTATTATAATTTCAGGTGAAAACGAAGACAACATGGACATTGAAATTGTAAATGAAAATCAAAAGAGTAATGAAGAAGTTGAAATGCCGAAAAGAGCTCGCAGTATAGCAGAACTTGAAGAAAAATTAGAAAAAATCAAATCACAGAATAAGTTCAGTTTCAAAAATAAATTACAAAAGAAAAGCTTAAGTAGTAAATTGAATAAGAAGATTAAGAAGACAGAAAGAGTAAAGGCGAAGGTTAAACCTGTAGTGGACAAACCGTTTGCTGAAATGCTGAAGGCCAGTGTTGAGGAGAAACCAAAACCGAACATTGCTAAACCAGTGTTTAACAATGAAGGAAAACTTGTGTTCTCCAAGTTTGACTTTGCTAATGTTGGCAAGAGAGGTAATTTTTATCTACCTATTTCTAATTTAATATTCAACTACTAGTTTTTACCCGCGGCTTCGCTCGCATCACAAAAGGATAAAAAGTAGCCTATGTGAACTATACTAATACACACAGCGCCATCTATACCAATAATTTCGTTTTCCCTCGAGAATATCAAATTTTCCGAGATAAAAAGTACCCTATTATTTAATCCAGACTTCTAACTTCACGTCTGCAAAAATTCAAAGCAATCGGTTTAGTAGTTACGGCGTGAAAGTGGAACAAACAAACAAACTCACTTTCCGATTTATAATATTAGTATGGGTACCTAGATAGATATGTAGATAAAACAATACATTTTCAAGTCAAAAGTTCTTGTAAATGTTGCCTAATTTTACAACTCTAATTGATAGCTTAGGATTGACACCAACCTTAAATCATTGAATCAAATAAGCTAAGGACTCAGTTTTCAATCTTAAAAGGGAAATAAAAATGCAAGTCTTGTTTTATTACAATATTATTGTCAACATTTTTACAGAAAGGCCAAATAAATCAGAAAAAGATCCCAAAAAAATTTTGGAAAACCTTAAACAACAGGAAGAACGTCTAAAACAATTGGAAGAAAAAGAAGACAGTAATAAAGTGAAAGAAATCAAAGAAAAGATTGCTTGGAAAAATGTACTGCAGAAAGCCGAAGGACAGAAAGTGAAAGATGACCCTATATTACTGAAGAAGACTATTAAGAAAATGGTAAGATTTCCATGTTTTTAATAACATTTCTGTTTGTTATCTGGAAATTAGATAGGTACTCTATGGGGTCGATAGTGTCGACCGACACTGATAACGACATGATTTGATCGCTAAGTTGTGAATCTTCAGTATATGTCGCAATCATTGTCGAGACTTCCATCAATTGTCAAAAGTTTTTTGGATGCTTATTGTTCTGAATCATTATTGCTAATATTGATAACTTTATATATTATAGGATCAAAAGAAAAAGCAAAGTAAGAAACAATGGGACACTAGAGTTCAAAATGTTGAACAGAAGAAAACAGAAAGGCAAAAGAAGAGATCAGAAAATATTGCCAAAAAGAAGAAAGAGAAGAAGTCTAAAATTATAAAGACATCAATCAAGAGGGGCCGTGTTGTAATATAGTAGAAAAACTTGAAATTTGGAAGATTTTAAAAATAAATTGATTTGTACAAATGATAGAATTTTTTTATTCGTAGACACAAGAACCCACTTTTCATCAGTTTTAAGGAGACCCTCTAGTAGTGAGAAGGCCCTGATAGTTTCTAATAAAGTATTAAAAATAGACGAAAAATTGACCGATACGGAATCGAATTCGAAAGCCTTTGCTTCGTAGAGGCGAACTAGTGCTATGAACTACAATCGGGCAAGTAGTGGTAGTTATTTTAGGAACTAATAACTCGATAACATAATATCACATCTTGTCATTTCCAAAAGAGACAGATCATCACCTCTGCCTAGTGAACATAAATAATGCACAAGTTCAATGAAATAGGTAACCTCCTTTCACAAGTTGAGTCCCGTGTTATATTCGTAAGGAAGGGGAAATCTAAGAAATAATAAAATATTTTAACAGAAAGGAAATGTCATTTATTCGTGGTATTCAGTAACGTTAGGTACGCTATTTTTAACTTGCGTTGAATAACTAAGTTCTACAGGGTAGGTACATAATAAATAAACGGGGCATGTAACGAAGGCAGCATCGGTTTCCACAAGTGCCATACGACAACATGTCTTACAGTAAAAATGATTTTGGCTTAGACAAGGTATGCAATGGAAGGTATAGTCGGAAAACAATGCGTTCGAATAGTTTCACATTACACTGTTTTACAGTCTACGTTACTAATCATTAATCAAATAGATGAACTATATCTATGTACCTAACTAAATTCATATGAACACATCTTTTTTTCTTAAGTCTAGGTGCATTAAAAGTTACACACCATGCTAAAAAACTACAAAGACAAATATTTAGGTACCTAATGGTATATATTTTCTGTATAATATCAATCCAAACAAATGGCAGAATCAGTCACAATGTCGGTGGTTAGATGATAATTTTGGTTTACAAACGGGTGTCTAGGCTATACTCGTAATAATGATATACACTAATAAGTAATAACTTTCATAATTATGTATAAAGTGATTACATTATAAATGTAGTATAATTTTGTTACATCTCTAAACATGCACAGATACAAAAATTTTGAGGTGTATTATCTGATGCAATATAAACTCAAACATTAACATTACAACAAATCCATGAAGACTTTTAACATTACTGTCCAATGTAAGCTTTGCTCAATAATTGTTTCTCCATAGCATTACAGGTACTGTTAAAACGTGACGTCTATTTTTAAACATCTAACAAACATGATTCAGTGTATATGTTGTTAAGAAATAATGGTGTGGTCTCAATATCCTAATTCTGTGCCATCAGTAAAGTGGAATAGGTTCATAGTAAAGTGATGCCTACCGAATTGTAAGTACACGCAGCTCTAGCAGAAGTTCGTGAAATTCAAGCGATAATGAGGACGAAGCGGCGATATAAAGTGACCATGAATGTTTCTGTGATAGATTACACAATATATTATTGTCATTTTCCGCGCGCCCTCAATATTTAAGTTCAGTACCTGATGTTAAAGACGTCTCTACACTAAACTTATGAATATTTCATAATAAAATATATTCTTTAGATTAAATTTCTTACAGATAATGTTAGTGCCAATAAGAAGACGCTTGACAACTTTGTGGCAATTAGCAAATTAGTTATTTGGAGCTGTTCTGTTTAAAAATGTAGAAAAGATCGGCGTTATTTACTTTTTTAAATTAACTCGTCGAGTACCGGTTTTGTAGACACAATTATAGAACAATAGGTTGCGGTGACCGGTGACCGCTTGGTGTTTGACAGTTTAAGTACTATTATTAGAACTTTTTGAATGATATTAACTGCTCATTTGACTAGTTGTAAGCTATGACCAGTAAATTCAGTTGGTTTTGCAACTTCAGTCGCCGAGCAAGTTTCTCATGAGTTCGATTATAAGCCCCGGTCGTAACTTAAACTAATCGAGCACGCTCTAAAAGTTTACATTAAGTGTTGATGATTATACAATTTTGTGTTGATAGAGAAATCGTTAAGTAGCGCGAGATAAACAGTACAGCTCAAAATACTTACATTTAAATTTACATTACTGAATTAAAGAACACATTTTCGGTCATGTACACCGACTCGTAACTGTGAAACAAACCAACTTACAATGGATATTTATGGAGCTTCTTGAGAAGTAAGGTGATCCGATTTTTTTATATAAAGTAATACAAGCAAAAGCACAAATAAACGGTCGAACCGAACCGTCACTTGACAGTGTGTGTAGTGGTCCCTCGCACATTTTCAGTGGAGTCCACCGGACCGCCGAACAAAATTGACGGTACGGTTCGATTTCGATCGTCTGTTAGTGCTTTTAGTTATTACTTGTTTCCCACCTCTTAGGAATGTACCGATAAAAAATAGCACAATAATATTACCATCACGGTTACAGAGAACTTTTTAAAAATCTTTTAACTACCGCCATCTAACTATCCGCTTAGTAGTATGGATAAAAAGTATGCATGACAATCAAGTGAATTTACTGCTTTCATTTTGTATTCACTTACTTCTCAAGACGCATTGCGATTACCAAAGACCAATAAAAATTAAACATAAATGTTAACCTAGACATTATTCAACCAAGACGCCGTAAAATCATCCGATAATTAAGTAACTAAATTATAATATTATGTATTATTAACTTTATAAAACGAATTTGGTATAATAAACCCAATATTTTCTCTCGGTGGCTTGTATAAGCAAGATTCCTGTATGGAACTTACAAACTTATTTATTAAAATTCTTCAAAATATAAACTATGTAACTAAGTGATAAAGATATTAAAATAAACTAAGCTATTAGTATTAAAAACAAATGTAAATAAAAAAAATAGCAACAACGGATAATGAATAAAAAGCCTCCAGATTGAAGTACTCATCTTTCCACATAACATGAACAAAATAAATAAAATTAGAAATATTAAGATTTAAAAAAATATAAGTATATAAGATAAAATTTGAGAGTATAGTAATAAACTCTTATGACGTAATATTAGCATAATAAAGGCTTACTAGATTTAGATATTATAGCCTCGAATCTTATAATTAGGTGTGTGTACACATATTGTGTTTATATATTTAAAAACATTATAATATAATTCTATAAATTGCAGCAATAATTTTTCAGTGTATAACACTTCAAGAATAAATATTATGGGTAGGGAGAACACAACAAATACATAATTCCAATAACCATAACATGCACAAGGCTTCGCCAACGATACATTGCACTTCACCAAGTTTAACTTACCCTACAGGTGTAACATTATCAAACTTAATGTTCTACAGCGATGTGTATAAAAGATGTCTTTAGAAAATATTCGAAATACACATATATATTACATGCATACGAAACTACACACATCTACATTATAAATTGTCTTTGGAAAAATGTACATCAGAGCCCCAGAAAATATAATACGCTCCTCATACACCTCCACTGACCGATACAGCATACAACTTAGGTACATAAAACTAAAATATTATGTTCTAAAATTATAAAAATAACATACTCTATAACTTCTCCAAAATAGAAAAATAAAAATTGTTTTTGTTTGTAATACTGCACATTCACCTTTACTCTAAATCAGTCAAAAGCATTGTTATAGAAAAGATATCAAATTATAAAAAAATATATCTGATAAACGTACAATAAATTGTTGCATGTATGATCTGGTTCTATTTTACTGTCAATCAACAGCTATGGTTTATTTTAATTAAAACTTAAAGGTGGTTATAACAATTTAAGCATATTCAAATATATTACCCACTCCCTTCCTAATATATGAGAACATGTCTAAATGGCTATATGTAACTTACTCTTATTTACCTACTAACTAAAGCCTAAATTTAAATGGTAATAATAAAGCAAGTCGTGAGGCGGGATATTTGCATCAGTCTTGTGAAATTCTCAATATTGTGAAAATTATTACTGTCATTTATTTATCTATTTGGTAATCTTGTAAAAAAAGAAACTGTTTAATTTAATATGAATTAATTAGTTACTTTGTAAGCCAGTGCGGCATCTGTCATCAGTTTAGCTCTGATTTCAAAGAGGAAAGAGTGGCATCCAGCACTCTACCAGCCGCATATCCAGGTATGTTCAGGTAGGCGGGCTTGTCATGTTCACATATTCCAGGCTGAGTGCAGCAGCGCCCCATGGTTGGCATACCAGCGTGCCCTGAACTAGCTTGACCATGGCTGGCACTTGCTTCTGATGTAGCTCCTTGACAAATCATCTTATGATTTGTAAATTGCTCTAATGAGCGTAATTGTTCTCCACAGTTGTCACACTTCAATTCCCTAGCATGTACTTTTTTGTGGCTATTGAGTGATCTTGAATTATCAAAAACTTTAGTGCACATGTCACAGTACTTGAGAACTTTCTCTCCTGTGCACACCACTTTATGATTGTTAAGTCTGTCTAATGACATGTAGCGCTTGTTGTTGCACAGATCACACTTGAATTGTTTCTGAGGTACACGACCTGTGTGTACTTGCATGTGTTTACGTAAATTGCTCTTATCCTTAATATATTTGGAGCACACTGAGCATTTGTTCACATCTTTTCGTGTATGATTAGCATCCAGATGTCTTCGTAGCTGTGATTTTTTATAAAAAGGTTCCAAACATATTTGACATCGAAAAGGCTTTTGTGCTGGATGAACTCCTGTCAAATGCGTGTTAAATTCTAAAATTGTTGGATAGCTCTTACGGCAGTGGGGACAGTGGAATAATTTGCGACATATTGCTGAACTTGAGTCACAAAATGGGTCTGAACAGTCATCACAAAAAGAATCCAATCCAACTGGAGGTGTAACTGTTTCTGCTTGAAACTGTTCCAAGTCCGATTGTAGCGGGTCCCTGTCTGGAGTCCCAGGACCAGGTGGCTCTTGTTTCACTTTAGTTTGTTCACTGTGTTCTGAATAGCCGTCTTGGGACGGCAGGGCCCTTGCGGTGCTTGTGCCGGCGGCCCCAGCGAGCACCCACCAGGGGTTGTAATGCCAGGGCCCCAGACCAGAATGCACTGCCTGTTCTTTTATATCACTGTTTTTCGTTTGCGTTTCAGCATTGGAAAATCCTGGAAAACTTGGTAGTTCTTGGTGTTTTGATCGTGAAGCCTCGAATAAATTATGTTGTGATATCAAGTTTTCATAGTCACTCTGATCCAACTTTCGGTCATGTCCATGTCGATCTGACGGATCTCTTTTAGACATTATTTAAAAACAATATGTATCTGGAAACGAAATAAAAGCTTTGGTTATTGTTTTATTTAGAAAAAAACAATGTTTAAACTGCTATATCATGAAACGTAAACAAACAACGCAATTACGCGCCCAAGTAAACACAAGCATAACTCTAGATATTTCCGTGTTGCAAACAGTTGTAACTCAAGTCTTATAGGAATCTATCTATAAAAATAAAATGATCTTTATGAAATACAACGTTAATAACAATATCTGTATAACAAAGAATAAATAAACAAGTAACATAGCTTCCCTTGTATTTGAGTAAAATATTAGTATAAAAGTTCTTTAAACACTTGTTCATTTATATTTTGTACACAGATATTTATAAAGAAATCAATATATAATAATTTGATAAACTTTATACATACTATATTTGCCATAAAACTCGCAATATTCTCATAAAACTATTTTTATAGAACATCGGCCATTTTGTTTGATTAGTTTCTTTAATATTTTTTTCGTTGGTTTCAATAGGTTTGATACATAGCCTTTTAAGGTATTGCTAATATCTTCAGATCAATAACTGTTTATTTACCTTAATTCAATGAACAAAAATTGCTTTAAATATCATCTTAAGGTGATGACCTTATAATATTGGCAGCCATCCTTTTCGGCTATTAGTAAGTAGCAGCAGCAACAGCATTGGCATAGCGACTGCGCAGCGGCTGGTGCAATGGCCTCGTAATATTTGTATGGCACGCATCGTGTACACGACTCCTTAGCTCTTATGGTTTAGTTAGGTATTTTTAAGGGGGGAAAATAATACGGCCAACCGTCCCGTATTCTGCGAGACCGTCCCGTAATGCTAGATATAATCCCGCTTTGAAATAATTAATAAAATAGTCCCGTAAAACGTTAGATGCGTCCTGCAAGTCCCGCATACCTATTTCTCTACTAAGTACACGACACAACCACACGCGCACTAGAAAAAGTTCAGCACAGAACAACATTTTTTATGTAGGAGTAGGAGGAATATCATCCAATGACTTCTTCCGCCTTGGATTAGGCGAGAGGCAGTAACAGACTCTTACTGACTAAAAACCACCCCGTTCCTGCTCCTGCTTAGGCCTTCCGCGGCTCCGTATAGGGCAACAGTCAACAACACAAAAAGACTTTCAGAAAGTTGGTTGCCTTAGGGGAAAATCATCGAATGACTGTTCTCCAGCCTGGATGAGGCGGGAGGGAGTGTCAGACTCTTACTGACTAAAAACCACACCGTCCCCGTCGAGCCGGAGCCCAGGTAACCGGTTAGGTTCTCCGCGACGTGGTTTAGTTATGTATAGATTTGGTCCGGTCCGGTTAATGGTTTAGTATAAACCATAAATAAAGGTCCCAAAAAGAAGTACATACGTTTGTCACTGTTACTGTCAAGTTTCAATGTCATGTCAATTGTCAAGACGTCAAATCTCAGATTCCGATTTGGATTCTGAATTTCGGATTTGATGAAAAGTGGAACCTAGGAAGATTTGAGTAAAAATCCGAATTAATTTCAAGATTGTGTGTATTAAATAACTAAATATAAATTGCTGATGATAGAACTACAATAATATGGCGTGGCTAGGATCAACTGTACTGAATTTATTTTGGAAACCTAGTGTAAACATTGTTAGGTTAGGAATATTAAAGCAATGTTATCTTTTCGCTTTTTGAATTGTGTTTACTGATGGTTTTGTTTATTTTAGAACACGATATCATTCGGAAAAACACCGTGTCATTAAAAGATATGGTTTTGAAGAACAGATCTGGAATGGTGGATTACTTCCTCGGACTTTGGGGAAACCTCTGCCTATTCCAGAGTACAGGTAACCTACAAATATATCAATGCTGCTAGTAAAGCTAATTATTACACACAAATGTTTTAAATAGCCTCTGCTTATTTACTCACTAGTTGATACCATAATATGTGGGATGTTTATTTGTCGAAAAAGATGTGTTCAATACCATTTGATGTAATGAATGATGAGAGACGTAGTATCAGTTTCTAAATCAATAAACAACTTCAATAACATTTTACGTTATATAATAAAAAAAATATTAATATTCTATAGGCCATCTAACCAATGGACTGAGCGCAAAGCTTTGTTTGGTCAAAATGATTACATTGATATCCTTGGCCCTGGAGACTTGCACCCTGTGAAGACACTGTACACAGTTCCATCTTGGATAAGAGGAGTGAAAGGCAATGAGTACCAAGTGAGTAAAAAATGTATTACCATTTACATTACCAATAATAAAAATAATAAATTACTAATAGTTGCACTTGCAATAGGTATTCATAAAGATGAACCATGTTTGCTGTCCATGCACTAATAATATTAAAGTAAATGAAGTAGTTTGATGTTATAGTTAACTAGCTACGTTCATGTGGTTTCACCCGCTCTGCGCGGCTTCTATTGATCATAGCGAGATGTTTTTTAGCCTATAGCCTTCCTCAATTAATAGATTATCCAACACAAAAACAAATTTTCAAAACGGACCAGTAGTTACAGAGATTAACCCGTTCAAATGAACAAACTAACTCTGAATACTCATTGTTTACTAGAGAATATTTAAAATTTCATTTATTTTATTGGTATTGAATTATATATAAACCTTTGTTTCAGATCTTATTGAGAAAAAGAAAAATGTTGGGCCCGGCTGGTTTACCTCGAATGAGACCTACTAAGTGGAAGGATTTGGAAAGGAGAATATCTTTCTTATACAGAAAACTTAACAGGAAAACGAAGACAGGCCCATCTCCTAATTAAATTGATATAGTTTTTATTTTATAAATAAGTATATTGTAGTGTTGTACAAAATAGGAATAAAATGCTTTAAACTGTTAAAATGTCTTGTGTATAATTTTAAAAGTAGTTCCACCTTTCCGCTTCAAGTGATCTAACATCCCACGTTAAATAAGACTTCTTGAATGTAATGGGTTATGCACAAATAGGATATGAATGACAACAGAAAAAAAGACGTACATACGAAATGTCCTATTTATTTATTATTATACTTTAAATTTTTATTAACATTACACATTGGATGTCAATAAATGGAATGGATTTACTGATTCAGATATAATTTTTTTGTAATGACATTATAAGATAAGCTTTGCTTACATTTCTTTAAAATAAATTTAATTATATATTGCACATGAACATACTATTCTAATAACTATGCTATGGACATTATGCAGTATCGTAAAATAGTATTTACCTATTATATTTGTTCGAGCTACACTCAATTTACGCCCAAAAACCGGTACGGTGTGGTCGGTACCGATCGCCGAAGGGCCGGTAGTCCTGTCCATACAGTGACAAAATTCAGTCGGAACAGAACATTTTTCAACCTTAACTTTTTGTGATAAAGTTGAAAATCTAATCATCAAACTGACTTAGCGACCGATTTCAGTCGTAATCAAATTATTGTTGAGAATTTTAATCTAGGGCTAAAACTTCCGACCGACAGTGATTGTGAGAAAACTGTGATTACGGCACCGTCTCACTTGTGCCAGTTGCCAAAGACTACATCCACAAAATGAATGGTGCCTGCGACTATCCCTAACTCAACGATAGATGTCACTAGTTTTGACGAATTCTTAATTCGAACATTTTTACTATGCTTCTTTAACTTAGTTATTTGCACAATTTATTTAAGTATATAGGCACTGAATTCACTGAATTTGTATTTAATTAGTAACTAGTACTGTATATTTGGTAAATTCAATTGACTAGATTTATGATATTCACACACTATATGCCTATGTCTACATTACACTTATTACATTAAAAATTTAATTCCCTATCTAATTATAACTTCACAATAAACGTTACACATTACAGCATTGCTTATTACAACAATAAATAATTAAGTAATTATGTATTATAGCTTACTCACGTAGTTCACAATTCATAACTATGACTCCCGACTGTGGCTCGAAATGAGTCGATTTATCCCGCAAACAGTTAAGTGATTAACCTGTCAACTGTCGGAAGATCGTAGATCTACGCGAGACTGTGTGTTTTGTATTGTGTCTACGACAAGAGGTTATCATGTCTGTCGATATAAGAGACACAACTGTACAATTACTAATTAATTTAGATTTATAAAGCTATTTAGTACTTGATATTATAACTTGTTTGTCAGGGTAGATATGCCCCAATCTTCTTTTATAAGGTCTGCAGCTTTTTCACCAATCATGACTGCGGCGGCGTGTGTGTGTGCTGCCGGTATCCGTGGCATTATGGAGGCGTCAGCTATTCTTAAACCTTTAATTCCATGGACCTGTAGTCTTGGTGAGACTACGCCTGTAGGATCACCAGCTGGTGCCATTTTGCACGTACCAACCTGTAAACATTTGATGTTACGTATTAATTAGTTATTTATTTTGTTTTTTTTTGCATATTACACAAGCCTATTTAACCCAGAGGTTCACTGAGAGAAAAAGCTATATGGCATTAAGTCCACCTTATATACCTTATTTTTGTGAGCACTAAAGAGTTAATAAATAAATAATGGATTTATGTCTAATATCTATAGGGTCAGAAGGACCAGTATTTCTAGGTTTGCTCAATCAGGGTTTTAAGGCCGTGTAGAAAGCCAAAGTCTAATTTTCCGTATAACTACAGTTAGTCAGCGCGGGAACCAATCCTGCTTTTGTTGCACGGCAACTTAGTAGCTACATGTTCATAAAATGATTGAAAAGTTCATTATAAGTTCTGAATTCAACAAAGTTAAACGTGAACATTCACCGTCATAAAATAGTAAAATGGATTGTAAACAGCGTTTCTTACTTGATGGTCTAATGTGATGGAAGTCTGCATAATAGCACACTCCCAGTATTCATCCGAGTCGAACAACAAAGCCTCGCAGCCGGGAAACGGTGTTGTGTGTAATTTAGTATTATAACGCTGGAACGCTTTCGTACCAATTATTTTTTGTACCTGGAATTGAAAAGCGGAGCAATTTTTATATCTGGGTTAGACAAAGTTATTTTTAGACCTCTATCTATTTGATAGCTAAGTACACTTACCATACGAACACCTTCGATCATAGTTCGCAAATCGTTCGGATCAGCGAAATAGTTTAAATGGATTCTGGGATGGTCGGTGAAGTTTGGACTTCGGAGCATTAATCGGCCAACGCTGTTCGGTCGGATTAGCACGGGGTTTATAGAAAATGTGCGCATCCTCGCCCCTATTGGCAAAGACCGATACACCTCTCGGTACCACTCGTCCGTCACTCCTGCAACGACAAAACCCAAGTTATTCATTAAAAGTTGAAGTTGATGCCATGCTCGCGGAAGAGGTTATTTTCCGGATCACTGATCGTCGTCGACTTTCATAATCTCTTCATTAAAGTTTTAATGGAATAAACAAAGCTGCTCTAGACATAGGTAAAGTTTTTCTATTTTGAAATAGATTATGCAGGTCAGCAGGTGTTGTTGAGGTACGTAGGTAAGAGTTCAAATTCTGGCCTGTATCCAAATTAGTTTTAGTCAGTCGGCTGTAGAATCAAATATTTTTTTGGGCCATGTAAGTTTTGTAAAAGCTTTCGATTGCTGAGTCGAACAAATTAATATTACTTAGGTACCTACCATTTCTGATTGGTGAGTGTAGGCATACAGTGATTTATAAAATAAAATTGAGAAATATTTAAACAGTAGACAATTACCCAGCAAAGACCGTAATATTCCCATAGCATCACCAGCTAGAGATCCAGCTCCCATGACCAGTTCTATATCAGGTCTGGTCTGATCCACATCGTATGAATGTCTTGTGTGCACGAAGGCAAGTCCAGTGGCTCCACCAGGCAGGGTCAGTGGACCTCGTCCTTGCATGTATGCAGCTGCTACGAAGGGGGATGCGGCAGCCAACTGTTAAGATATAAATTTAAAATAATTACGCTAGAGAAAACTTTCAAAGCATATGTTTATTTACGTTCAAATAACTTGGTTTCCTGGTTCAGGATTTTTCTCCAGTATTGTCGAAATGGCTTTTCAGCTACCTATTAAAATTTGGCATATTTAGTAGCGTACCTCAACATCAATAGCTCGTACCTACCCGCTCAGTGTTCGACTAGTAGAAGATTGTAAATTCGGGCTCGCAAAATCTTCAAAATTTGAATATTTTTCACAGTTTTAAGTACGTACCCTGGCTAATTAAATACGATATGAATGTAACAACCTACGCAACAGTTGTTGCAAACTGCCCAGGTATACGGAAGTTGGTATTGTTTTAGTTCTGCAACCACATTTCCATGACTAAGCTTCGAATTATGCAGAAAAACTAGGTGCGAAAGTTAGGAAACAAAGGGTAGTTAATAGAAATTAGGTCATTATATTACCTAGTTTAGTTTCCTAGTCGCTATAATATTGGAGATCATACCGTGACAAATATTTACGTATTTTTTAAATAAAAAAAAAAACATCATTGGTGATTTGTTGGAGTGACTGAGTTACCAACGTGTCTAGGCTCAATAGTCTAGATATTCAAGTTAAGAATAAGTTAATTGAAAATGAAGATGTTTTAAGACGTATTGAAGTAATATTTAATTCACCTCTTGTACTCAAGTAGGTTAGTAGGTACACTTGAACGGAGACTGAGCAGACAAACATAAACGCATGTAACCAACTTGATTAGCAGTTATTATAGCTGTTCTGTTGACAACAAACAAGCATGATTGGCCTCATTCATTGATTTCATAAGTTCGTATGAATCGTTTATAAGTCAATTAATACCAGTAGCGGTATACCTGGCTACCTAAATGAACCTATCTACTAATTACTAACATCGTCAAAATTTGAAATGACCAGCACGAGCATATGAAGGCTTCTCCCAACTTTTCGAATTAATTCTTTTATGCTGACGAGCTCTGATCCCGCTTTTCGAATTCGAACTTTAGCGCGAGGCTTTTAATTTCACTTTAAAAACACGCTCCAGAAAATACCTCACGTATTAGCATAATATTAAAAGTTTCGAACTGTTTAAAAATATCACTTGCTTTGTCTTTGTTTTTTTATTTAAATTCAGAATTCAGTTCTTATTTTGAATTTTAAATAATTTACGTAGGCACAAAATAAAACAGTTAGGTAGGTGGGTTGAAACCATGGGATGGTAAATTTACTAATGTAATACTAGAGGTAAATAATGAAACCAAGAAACTTATCTTATTATTTCATTTTAGTTTTTTTGTCAAACCGTGTTTTCAGTTCTTGTATTCATTTCGTAGAGAAAAAGTGGCGTGTTGCATTAATTTTATTATTTGTTTATTTGTTAGGTAAATCATGTGCGTTGTCATTGTGTAGATACTTATTTACGTCACGGAAAGACATGATGCATAAACAGTGTTCTATTTCGTGTTGTGTTGACACAAATGTACATTTTATTTAGAAAGGAAGCAGTTTTCCCTCTCTGGTAGGTACCAAAGTACCTATGTTCAGCAAGTTCGAATGCGGCCAGTCGAGTGTGCTTGATAGGTCAAGTACAAGAATACTGTTGGAAAGGGGACGAAGCTCGTGTTCCTCATATTTTGTTGTTTTGTAAGTTATACATATACTTCTTTTACTTACGTCATTCATAGTCATTCCCGTTTGGTTGACGATGAAAGCGTTCCCTGAAAACGTAACGTGGTCTTGGAGATTGTATCCTACAGGAAGGTCAGCTATCACTGGAATCCCGAATTCCAGTAAATGATCTTGTGGTCCTATTCCAGATACCATTAGCAACTGAGCCGAGCCAATAGATCCTGCAGACGAAATCACTTCACGACGTGCCCGTACCTGTATACTGAAATTTAATAAAGTAGGCTTTATATTAATATACGTACACAATATTAAGACAGCTAATTTAATAAAATATAATATTACGCTGCCGTATAAAACAAGTTACCTCATATTACGCTTCGTAAATTCAACGCCGGTAGCTGTTTTAGTGTAGGGGTCTATTAAAATTTTCGATACGGTAGAAAATTTCGTAACTTTTAAATTAGGCCTGAAGCGTATTGGCTCTATGAACGCTTTTGACGAACTGCACCTTCTACCTTTTCGCATTGTTGCTTGTGGCTTTGAGAAACCAATCAAATTTTCTCCGTTTGGATCCCTCCATTCGTATCCAAGTTCTTCACCAGCTTGTTTAAATGGCTTCTCAAGAGGTGAATGGTACGGCGAGTACTCAATGTCTAAATATCCACCAACGCCATGGTATGAAGAATTTCGTAATTCTCTAACACCTATATTTTCTGACTTTTTGAAGTATGGAAGTACTTCGTTGTAGCTCCAACCGTCGTTGCCCATTCTAGCCCAGTCATTGTAATCTTCCGGATGTCCACGTTGATAGATTAAAAAGTTGAGTACACTGCTACCACCGAGAACTTTGCCTCGCGGTAAGAAGCACACTTTTCCTCTTAGATCTCTGCATGCTCTGGGTTCTGGCATTGAATTGTAACCCCAGTTCATGCCAGTGAGGGAGAGAAACGGAGCAAATATGGGAATGTCGGAAAAGAAGTTTTCGTTCCCTCCTGCTTCTATAAGCAATACTTTCCATTGTGGAACTTCAGTTAATCGGTTAGCTACTACAGAACCTGCGGACCCAGCTCCAATGACTATAAAATCAAATTCTTCTTGATTTTTTGGAGTATAATCTGGGACGAAACCTTCCCTGGGATTGCGAGGTAGGGGACGAAATAAATCAGTCCAGTAGTCTAAAAATCTCCGAGTGTCAAACTGAGCTTTGACAGCTGAGATGTAAAGTAAGAAGAACCACCATTGCATGATGTGACCTTGTATTCTTCATTCCTGGAACAAAATAGTATTACTTAGTGTTCTTCTATGGAGTCAGCAATTGTGTAATCACTAGTGAGTCATACAACTCCGTGTAAATGGACTTTACGTGGTATTGCCGTTAATTTAACAATCAAAATTCTCTTGACTTGTCTTGTAGTGACTGATACCTAACTGAAGTAATATGTTTAGTCACTTGAAGGTTAGTTTTGTCATTTAGTAGGTCTAAAGTGTTTGTATTGAATACGAATTACTATTTTAGGAACTGAGGTGTCCAATACTCATCGTTCTAGATTAGTCTCCAATAGATGACATATGCTGTCCTGTATGTTAGTCAGCATTGATAATCTCACCTTTAAAAAGGCTGTTTGGTAAAAAAAAGAAGTTTTTGTTTAAAACCTAAGGATTCACGAGTTCATCCTTATTACTGTCTTTCATATTTTCATTGTTTATAATTTTGGTGTATTTTGTTAGCGCCCAAATTAGATCCAATCTTCAGGATTAGGGTGGTATGACGAGTAAGTTAAATTAAACCCTATTTCAAAGTCCCAAATGAGTGTAAAATTGCTTGTAAATTGTGCAAATCGTACTGGAATCTATTTTATATTGTGCAAATTACACTTGCTTTAAAATGAGATTTTCTTTCACATCAATTTTAAGAACAGAAGGTATGTTAAGCATCGTCATTTTGGTGGTCACCACTTCTGTTCATTGATAAAAACTTGATTGGCCAGCAATGACCATGACATGTTACCGGGAGATATTTAGCGATCAATTAATGAATATTTCATGTCAATAATTCAGTGATATAGCGTGTGCATCAACCTAAATTGCAAATGAGGATGGTTGACCATCACCTAATACTCGAAGGATTAACTCATTGTCAGTCACGCTAGCGATAATCGGCGACATCCGAAGGCATACAGCTCTCAGTATTTTGATCAAAAATGTGTGTGAAACATTTAAATTCGCCAATCATCATAATCCGGTTAAATTTGCGTGACGTACACACCAACAGAATCACGCCTTGTTATTTTATTTCACGGTTATTGATTAAATTAATTATTCTGTCAGTCTGTGACCTATTTCTTCTGAAGTAGCAAGTGAATTGTGATTTCGTTACGCGTAGTCAAAGTTAGTTTATTTATTACTAGCGACCCGCCCCGGCTTCGCACGGGTGCAATATGTATACCTATACATACAAACCTTCCTTAAGAATCACTCTATCTATTAAAAAAAACCGCATCAAAATCCGTTGCGTAGTTTTAAAGATCTAAGCATACATACGGACATACAGCGAAAGCGACTTTGTTTTATACTATGTATTGATAATTAGTGCTTTTGTTTTAGGTTTGTAGGGACACACTGTTGACGCTGTACTTTTGTGTTCCCAAGCGCGTACGTGCGCTGGCGTCGCACGGCAGTCGTCTCCCCGCAACCGAACTAGTAGGTCGTCATTTTTAAGTATATATCATGTAACTGGTACCAGAATTATATATCTCCAAATAAAATGAAGCGCATCAATTATCCACCTCGACAAAAATACATAGAACCCCCACATTGGTGACCCCGAAGACTGAAGACGCATCCTTCGAAGAAATGTGGTACTGGAGCACGTGCACATGCCTTTTGCGTGACGAAGGGACGCGCACATACTTATTACTGTCTTTCATATTTTCATTGTTTATAATTTTGGTGTATTTTGTTAGCGCCCAAATTAGATCCAATCTTCAGGATTAGGGTGGTATGACGAGTAAGTTAAATTAAACCCTATTTCAAAGTCCCAAATGAGTGTAAAATTGCTTGTAAATTGTGCAAATCGTACTGGAATCTATTTTATATTGTGCAAATTACACTTGCTTTAAAATGAGATTTTCTTTCACATCAATTTTAAGAACAGAAGGTATGTTAAGCATCGTCATTTTGGTGGTCACCACTTCTGTTCATTGATAAAAACTTGATTGGCCAGCAATGACCATGACATGTTACCGGGAGATATTTAGCGATCAATTAATGAATATTTCATGTCAATAATTCAGTGATATAGCGTGTGCATCAACCTAAATTGCAAATGAGGATGGTTGACCATCACCTAATACTCGAAGGATTAACTCATTGTCAGTCACGCTAGCGATAATCGGCGACATCCGAAGGCATACAGCTCTCAGTATTTTGATCAAAAATGTGTGTGAAACATTTAAATTCGCCAATCATCATAATCCGGTTAAATTTGCGTGACGTACACACCAACAGAATCACGCCTTGTTATTTTATTTCACGGTTATTGATTAAATTAATTATTCTGTCAGTCTGTGACCTATTTCTTCTGAAGTAGCAAGTGAATTGTGATTTCGTTACGCGTAGTCAAAGTTAGTTTATTTATTACTAGCGACCCGCCCCGGCTTCGCACGGGTGCAATATGTATACCTATACATACAAACCTTCCTTAAGAATCACTCTATCTATTAAAAAAAACCGCATCAAAATCCGTTGCGTAGTTTTAAAGATCTAAGCATACATACGGACATACAGCGAAAGCGACTTTGTTTTATACTATGTATTGATAATTAGTGCTTTTGTTTTAGGTTTGTAGGGACACACTGTTGACGCTGTACTTTTGTGTTCCCAAGCGCGTACGTGCGTTGGCGTCGCACGGCAGTCGTCTCCCCGCAACCGAACTAGTAGGTCGTCATTTTTAAGTATATATCATGTAACTGGTACCAGAATTATATATCTCCAAATAAAATGAAGCGCATCAATTATCCACCTCGACAAAAATACATAGAACCCCCACAGGTTGTACCTAGTCTAAATTCCTGATTACTATTTACAATGAAATTAAAGGTTTTGAGGAAATCTTCTTATTCTAATGTTTATAAAACAAATACCATTGTGTTACAAACGAAAACATTATTGGGTTTTTCAAATGTCCTCTATAAGTAAATAGGTCAGACGTGATGAATGGTGATGGTGTCGGCCCCTATTCCATGGGACCAATAATGGGTGTGTCAGAGGTACTGCAAGCACCCCTCGGGAAATATTAGATGCGCGTGATGATCTGATGTTATCTATACCTATATAAACACATTGTTGTTTATGTCTGTTCTGCAGACTGTTATCCTAGTAATATTTATGGCAATTGCGATGTTTTGCTGGTGACATGTTAGGTAATCGTATGAGAACAAGATCAAAATCAGTGTTTCATTTATGTTTGTAATAAATCCGGTTTTTGCGGTCTTTTGGACTGCATTAATAATATAAAACTACATACTTTTAACTGGGTCGCTAGTGTCTGCTACAATTTTGTATTTTTGTGGTTTGGTAATTAGTTTACAATTAGTTTAGTATCAAAATACTCACATGTCACACAGTTTTAAAACGTGTTTAAATATATATCTGTCACTATACTATAAAATCGTTGCAAAATGATAGAGATGGCACAATGTTTTGACTGCACGGTTGGTGCGGTCGCTGGGCAACCGGCTGCCGTGCAACGTGTCGCGGGTTCGATTCCCGCACAGAACAACACTGTGTGATCCACAAATTGTTGTTTCGGGTCTGGGTGTCATTGTGTATGTGAACTTGTATGTTTGTAAACGCACCCACGACAAAGGAGACACTCCTAATGTGGGGCAACATTTATATATATATAAAAAAAGTATAATTCAAACTTGAGTAGCCTTTCGGTATTTCGATTAGAAGTAATTTGATTAAATTAGTTCATTTGTCTATCTGTTTCTTTAGTATTTCCGTTCGTATTTGAATGGTACTCAATTATAAAGGCGTGGGTTTCTCTGGATAGTGACGAATTAATTATGGTTTTTATTTACACAGACCGGCTAAGAACTAATAAGAGCTAATAAGAATTATACAAACTTTTAGTTACTTAAAAAAAAAGCCTTGGCAACACTTTCCTTTCCTAAAGTCTTCAGTGTTCCCAAATATCGTTCTAACAACTACTAGTACTATAATTCCATCTTTATTTTAAGAATTTATTCCGTGTATCTATTACCAAATCCTACATCTTAGCGAATGGAATAACTACTCAAAACTTTTTATTCAACAGATTTACCTTCTGTAATTAACTCACGCGATTTTCTTTTAGAACTGTGACGGGTCTAGAGTCTAAAACTTTTCATTCCTCGCAGTTATTCAGGTACCTTTTTGCGACCGATCCAGTTTTTCAATTCTCCGCTACTTTAGTACCTATATTGGTCTTCTTGACTCTCTTGAGAATTCTGAATCTTCTCATTAGAGATTTGATTTGAGGAACACATTAAGAGTTAGTTGACCATTTAGTGAAAGGTAAGTTTTTTTTAACAAAAAACAATAAAGAGCAGTCATCTAATCGTATATGAGAGCTATAATTTTGATACAAACCTTCATACAAAAAATCGTCCAAATTGTGTAAGCACTTGGGATATATACATACATAACATCACGCCTTTTATCCCCGAAGGGTTTGGCAGGGGTGCACATTACGGCACTTATAGTCCTATGTAATAGGGGGTGAGTCTATTGCCATATACCAGACACATTCCAGACTCCGTGATACAAATGAGATTTTTTTTTTAAATGGGGTACCTATGTTTGTTTATAGATAAGATTTTCTGTTAAATTATGAATCGTAGAGTTGCAATAGACCAAGTCTAGTGACTTCACAGGTCACTAGTGACACATAAATTGTTATCTAAGACCCTCAGGGCCGTATTTGGGTCGTATTTGTTTAAATCACATTATTATAGAGAAGTCAAGGGACGGCAGGTGCGATTCACAGTCACGTACTATCATTACGTGGATAGAATGTGAATCAATCACACTTGTAATCGTGTAATCACGACTTCGTACCTTCTTACTCTTCTTCTACGATTAGTTGCCAACAGGCTTCTGTTGACTTAAGCCAAGTTTGTTGAAGACCTAGAGACTAGTCCTTCGTAATCATATTAAAGATTTCCTCAGGTGTTACTTTAAGTAATTATTTATTTTATTCTATTGGTCATAGGACTGCCTCGTTC